ACTATGATACCTAATGATATGATTATGATTTAGCATGGACATGAATTTGAGAACTGTGAGAGTTATTCCTAACGAATGAACGGTGAGAGTTTTAACTAGAATAATGAAACAATTGATGCAGATTATGGGCAAAATGGTTATGTGGCAATGAGTATAAAAATTGAACACTTTTTGATTCGATAAAACTTGGGAATATGCTGACTAAACTCAGAGGCTTATTAGAACTATGGACCTGAATTATGTACTGTCGACTACTTACTATGTAGAACTTTTGGAAATGGGATGGCGAATGAACTTTTGTTGTTGAGCATTGCTAGAGGGCTAATAATAGACTTGTGAATGTATTGAACACGAAAGAATTGATGTTAGCCTTTGAAACATTCTTGGGAATTACGGATAAACTTCTTCTGAACCTTGAGAAATTATCGAATTAAATTTGTTGAATAGATGGGGGGTGAAATTGCTCTGTTATCATATGGTGAGTATTGCTACGTTTGCTTAATGATTGTCTATGGAAAACTGTGACCATATGAATGTGTTCACTATCAGCTACTACATAGACTGATTGAACTTTAATTGTGGAGTCTCTCTGAGATTTCTTGCCGGAATAAGATTTTATATGCGATGCTCTGAATGAAATTTATTGATAGATCACCCTCGCTATGGAAATATTTGGACTTATAATTTTACTCCTTTGTTGGATCAGTTCTTTACACTGTGTATAAATATTTTGATATGAACTGTCATGCATGACATTTGAATTATGTTGGCAATAATGGGACATTGGAATGTGTTATGAATGGTTATGATAAGAAGTTATACGTGTTTACTTCTCTTGAAATCTGGTAAGAGGCTAATGATATTGATTGTGAATTTGCTTTCTATCACTTGTTTACACAGAATAAAAGAATGGCATACAAACTAGTTTAGCACTATGAAATATGACTTTGAAACGATATAATAGCTTATATGATTTTGTGAACCAAGGAACTGAATTTTATATTTTGAATACTTTGTAAAAATGTGATGAACTTTATGAATCTGAGAACTTACCGCCTTTTGTCATCACAAAGCATGTGTGTCTTAAAAGATGAATTACGCCACCTATATGAATTATTTACTTGTGTGCTACCCGTGAGAAATGTACCGACTCACTCATTTTGAATTGCATGTGAATGAACTAACTAAATAGACTAGGTTATGGAGATGTCATGTACGTCTGGAACTAAGACTTCGATGAAATATCGTGATGGGTCAATGAGAGTTACAGTAGAACATGAAGAATTATCTGAACATAGGAAAACTGAAATGACAAAAAGGGATAGGAATCGAGTTATGAGCTAACAGGAGGAACTGCTTTTAAGAAAGGATATTTATACTTACCCTAGGAAAACACCTGCACTGCTATGACTACTTATACCTCGGAGTATGATGCCAAATCCGGTATAATCTGAATCTGATTTCTACCTTTCATTTTGGATAGATAGACTTTTGCTCAGAATTGCCTAAATTATGAAGCTTGTGACTGTTTGAGATGTTCCAAATGGAAATTGTGTAATAGTGAAATTGTTGACTATGGGCCTGAGCGAATTGAGACTGTTATAATGAAATTTATTTTGGTTGCAAATGACAGGGCAAAATGTTGTTTGCTTTGATTTGGTAGAGCTTTTATTTGACTGGATAATGCTATGAGACCAAGACAAGTTTGAGGGACCAAACTTCCTAAAGGGGGGAAGAGTGAAATAACCCGACTCTCTCATATGCTGCTTAGACTCTAATTCCCTCATTATCTGTGTGATTATATGTTTGATGTGAAATTCAATGTTTAAATGTGTGAATTATGTGCTTATGAGATTGTATTTGTTGGTTATAAAAAAATATGTTGAAATTACGACTGTTGGACTGCAAATTGAAAGTCTTAAAGGTGCGATAAACCGAAATTGATTTTACAATTATGATTAGAATGATTTTAGAATATAATATGAAGTTTTGTAAAAATTTGATTCGTAATGAATTAATTAGATTTATTTAAGCCAAACCCTTAAGTAAGCTGAAATTGACGACTTTAATGGGTTCAGAAACTGAAATTGAATACATGGTTATGCTAATGAGAATTTTTAGAGCCATTTGGGAGGTTTAATCGAAAATTGATTTCGTCTGATTCGTTAAGTTATGTTTGGTTGGCCTAAATAGATATATATAACATGTTATATATATTTGATCTCATCTTTAGCCCTTGGAAGAGACAAAAAAGGTGGAGAGAAAGAAAGAGTTCTAGAGAGAGAGAGAGAAAGAGAGCTCTTAGAGAAGAGGGAAAGTGTAAAGAAACTCAAGATTTGGCTTGGATTTATCAAGATTATGCAAGATCAAGTGTTTATGAAGACTCTAGGTAAGATTTTACCTCTCAAACCTTGAAGATCATGAATTAAGAGTTGGCTTATGGATTTTATGGAAGCTTTTACATGTATTTTGTCATATAAGGCAAGAACATAACATGATTTCATAGGATTCATGTTTATAACTTGTTTTCTTGCATGATTTCTAAGATTCTTAAAGATTTCAAAAGACTTTCTCCATGGATTTCGAAAGTAGAACTCATCACATGTATAGCTTTTGATTTTGTGCTTGATTTCAAGTTTTTGAGCTTGTAAATGGAATTTTGGGTTTGCTTTGAAATCATGATTTTCATTAAAGTTAGAATTGTTTAATTCAACATGGTTTGAAAGGTTTTGGGCCTTTATTTGTATAAAATAAAGTTGATTGTGTGATGTTGAGCCTTAATCTGGAGGGTTTATATGGTTTGAACTCATTAAATTACATATGAAATGAAGATCTATGTGAATTTGAAAGAAGAAGTTTTGAAAAGTTTGAAAAAGAACTAAAACAAGATTTTGATCTTTCTTGCTTGAAGATTCATTGTATTTTTGATGTTTTGATTTAGAAAACAATCATAATCTCGTGTTTTCTATTATTTTTACATGTTTTTGAGTGATTTGAGTTGAAACCGAGCTTGGAAAATTAAAAAACAAGTGTTAGAACCAACAGATATTTTCGATAGCAGGTTTTTGCCCAGAACCGCACGTGCGGTGGGGCTTCCCGCACGTGTGGAAGTCTCTTTCCAGCAACATTTTGTATTCTAAAATAATTGCACGTGCCCCCACACGTGCCCTAACTTTTCCGCACGTGCAGTTTTAGTCCCGTACGTGTGGAACTCCCCTGTTTCAGCCCAACTTCGGATAGGCATATCTCCCTCATTCGGACTCCGTTTTAAATGATTCTTGAGCCTAAATTCAAGCCTCGGAGGTATAGTTTCCAATGATAGTAATCCTACATCCAAATTCAAATTACACAAATAGATATGTTCAAATTAGTGAAGGTTGTTCATTTTCTTTGTAACCGTTTCATGCTATTTCCTCTCCTAACCCAATTTCCTTTCGTTTCTTCCTATTTTTCTAGACACGGATTATGACCCATTGAAAACTAATAAGGTTAGAACCAACATAAATAAGTGGTTAAAGAGCAAAGTAAGGGATCAGTTTATTTGATTAAAAAAAGATTAAGAGAAGTAAATTTGATCAAGAAAGTAATTCTATGTTTCGATATGTTATGCTATATGCATTGTGATTGCAGGTCAAGATTCGAGGACCGGTTAACCATTTCTAGAAAACCCCTGTGAGTAATAGTATAGTAAAGATATGTTTTTCATTATCTATTTTGATTTATGCACGGCATGATTCTCTAAATATCGTATTTTGTCAAAATGCACAAGTTTCCAAGAAATATGAAATGAGTTATGAACAAGAAATGTGAATTGTTTGTAATATGATATGGTGGACCCAAGGTTGTTCCGTTAATCCGTTTCGTTTATGCTATGACATGATATGAATTGTTCGGTCTTCAAGACTTATTGATTTCTGGTATGGAACAAAGTGTTATACGGAACTAAGTGCTATAGTAGGAGTCACGTTTAGATTCTGTACGAGTCACCTCTCGGATCCATACATACATGGATTGGGCTTGAGGCCGTTTTGATATGTGATTGGGCCCGAGGTTGTTCTGTTACCATGTGATTTGGCTTAAGGCCATTCTGTTACCATGTGATTGGGCCTGAGGCCGTTCTGTTATTATGATTGGGCCTGAGGCCGTTTTGTTATTATAATTAGGCCCAAGGATGTTCTGTTACCATGTGATTGGGCTGGAGGCCGTTCTATCATGTATGGGCCCGAGGCCGTTCTGTTAACATGTGATTGGGCTTGAGGCCGTCCTGTTACATGCAGGCCCGAGGCCGTTCTGAAAATGTGATTATGAATAACGATGTGCTTAATGTGACTGTGATAAATGCTCTACATATTGTACCTTGGAAAAATATTGGGTTTACATCACATGCTTTTATTTAATTCAAACCTTTTCATTGGATTCTTTTTACTTTACTATTATTCATTGAGCTTGTATTTATATATATTTATGTAGGTGATCAGCTCGAAGGTCAGCCCTAAGTTAGCTTTAGAAAACTTTTGTAAGATCTATTTTGCTAAGCCTCCAAAATTGGCCCCTTTTGTCCTTTTGAAGAGTTCCTTTGATGCCATATTTTAGTTAAGTCTTTGGTGGCTTTTGTTGAAAACTTGGTTAATATGTAAATTTTGGGTTGTGAACTTTTTATATATATTGATATGACTTGGACCTGTATACAGAAGAACTGTGAATGTGAACTCTTTATATGCCATGATGAATCCTGGCATATAAGCACTGCTCAATGGACATTCTGTTATTTATTTTGCTTCCGCTTTAAGCCCCAATATGATTTAAATATTTTGAATTTTTGTTTTGAGGCCTAAATATAGGCCAGTCATGGCCTAAACTTTTAGGGCAAGTTTGGGTCGTGACACCTACAATGTTTTAACAACTTATATTCTCATATATATATATATATATATATTCAAATATTATATACAATAAAAATGTAAATAAATATTTACAAAAATTTTAACATTCATGCATTTTCATCTCTTTTCTTAATAAAATTCTTGTTACAATAACAAAGAGTTTTTGAAAGAATACTGCAAAGGTTTTCCACCTCTTGCAAGTACAAAAAACATTTGACGTTACAATAGTTTTGATTCAAAGAATCCTTGCAAATACCCACCCTAATTCACATAAAAAACTAGTATATGGAAACAAGAAATAGGGCACTCATTTACAGTCTTGTTATAGAGTCTTGAAGAATATAGGTTGTCCTGAAAGAATTCTTGTCACAGTCTTGTTGCCACTACTGCTCCCATTGTCAAGAGAATATCGGAAACAAATCATCAACCTCTACTATTGAAACTACAAGTTCAAGCAAAAATAGGTGTGAATTTGATTATTGAACACTAGTAAGACAAAAACCAACACAATATCAAACTTTCTCAGCTAGCATTGTTCCTAATACTAACAAATTTGTTGAAATTAAATTTCATAATAATATGCAATATTTGAAACAATACTTTAACCCATCATGCATAAGTATTATATAAAACCAATTAAGCCAAATGTGCTTTACCTAGTCTGGATAATAGATATCAGTGAGTCTGAAAGTTTGATAACATCAGATGTAGCGCTTGCTTAAGCAAAACATGAACAAAATCCATACCTGGAGGCATCGCGTGCTGAGCAATTTCTTTTTTCTCTAGGCTCTTAACCTTGTCATTCTCTAGCAAATTTAAACTTGTAAGTTTCTCACCCATGGTTGGCTCATTTAAATCCTCATCAATTTGGCTTCCATCCATTGGCTCTCCATGGGCTATATCTATCTAGCAGCAAAACTAGTTTATTTGTTAAATGCTGAAATTCAGATTTTTTATTCCATTCTACCAGTGTAGTGCTATCAATCTATCTATCTATCAAAGTGATATACATATATAGAAAAGAGAAGCGGTAACATGTGGCCACTGTAAATTAAATGTATTATTTTATATATTTTATTTTTCCCCTACAAATTATGTCTAACAGAGACCCCAGTCTGTGTACATCATCAATAAACAAATCACTTATTAATATCAAAATAGCTTCCAAAACAACAATCAATCCCTCAATTGGCACAATAATTCACAAACTGTACATGTTTCCCTTTCTTCCTAACCAGCCTTGTTACTTCAATTAAGTCTTTATATTAATCTACTTTTGTTTACTTTTTCCTCAAATTGTTTTGAATAGTTTTTCTAAAATTTTTAGAGACAATTGCAAAAAAATGATATAAACTCAAAATAATTACAAAGAGATGGAAGTGTAAGACTTTGTTGCACAATTTAATGCATAAATTGGCTTTACTTCCATGACATTGCAATTATTTTGTGTTGATGCCACTTTTTTGCAATTCTCCCAAATTTTTACTGAGATTTGCTACTATTGCCAGCTTCCTAACATATTAATGATACATTCCTGATTGATTTTCAACTCTTGAACTAATTCCAAAATTAAACAGAATGCTCACAATGGTCAATATACTAGAGTGGCGCGTAAATCAAACATGAATATCGTTTATGGAGTAAGTCATGGTGCAACAAAAGTACATAGTTGATCCAAGACTCAAATGAGTAAAACCAGCTTGTTTTATAGCAAACAACATGAGTAGTTCATATTCCAACTCAAATTTTGGTACTATAGAGTAGAAAAAATTCATGCATCTGGTCAAATGACTCCAAACTAATACTAAAAACAGTAATCATCACATATGAAGGACCATATTAAAAGATTAAAAAGTCTACCATCTAGGGACAGCCTAGCTGATTTCCAGTACTCCAGCAGCAAATTTCCTATTAGAGAAAAAGAACATCTATCAATTCCAAGATTAGTAAATTTTGTTCTTCTCATTTGCTGCCTCCTATAGAATCCAAAAGCCATATTTAGAGATTTATCTCAATCAGGAAAAACTAGCTTGTTTCATAGCAAACAACATGAGTAGTTTATATTCCAACTCAAATTTTGGTACTATAGAGTAGAAAAAATTCATGCATCTGGTCAAATGACTCCATACTAATACTAAAAACAGTAATCATCACATATGAAGGACCATATTAAAAGATTAAGAAGTCTACCATCTAGGGACAACCTAGCTGATTTCCAGTGCTCTAGCAGCAAATTTCCTATTAGAGAAAAAGAACATCTATCAATTCCAGGATTAGTAAATTTTGTTCTTCTCATTTGCTGCCTCCTAAAGAATCCAAAAGCCATATTTAGAGATTCATCTCAATTAGGAAAAATAGAAATAAATTAAAAAAAAAAACACACACACACACAAAGTCTAGCAAAGTCCTGTCAACAAGTCCATTATAATTAAGATTAGAAAAAGAAAGAAAGGTTGGATTTAACTCTGGTGCATTAAGAGGTCTAGCTTAGGAGATTATTTGTTTCAATCTAAATCAAGACAACAAACAGATTCATATGTATCTAGTAATGTCTAATGCAAGAATCAAAGGGAAGAAGGTAAGTTACATGCATATGTCCAAAATATATGTGTGCATATCATTAGAAAAACAACACGGTTATCGAAGTCATAATTTCAATCTTCAGAACATTGACTTTATATATCTAGACAAAGGACAAATTTCTTTCCCACAAATTCAATATCGTTGTAAGACCAATCATATGTTGTTGTAATTCAGTCCCACCAGCCAATTAGAAGAAATACATATGAATCTAAGGGCATCATACATCTCACATAAATATTCACTTGCCATGTCAAGTCCAACAACACTTATCATGTAAGGTTTTGTTCTGAGCTTTGACATGCACTCGGCAACATTTCTTGCTACACCACTTAACATATTGTTAGTATGTTATTCTATGTTAGTGTATATCAGCTGTTAGTAGGGTATATTTCTTTTCCTTTTACTTTATTTTATTAGTGTAACTTTCGGCTCATCTCCTATATAGAGGAGTTCAACTGAACCTTTGTAATATCTATCAATAACATTCAATACAACATTTCAATACACAATTCTTTCTCTTTCTTTATACATAAATCTTTCATGGTATCAGAGCAAGGTTAAGAATCTAATAATTTTGTTCCACCGGCGGGCGGCAGCCTCGCCTTAGCCGCTCGCCGGACCTCAGCCCAGCCAAACAAGCTCCCTCTCTCTTGCTGGTTTTATGCTGGTTTTATGTTTAGCAAACTCAACCACCTGCACCGCCATAACAACCATCCATTGACACACACACCGAAGAAGAAGAGAGCAGTTTGTGCTGAACCTGGGGCAAAACCCAGCTTCCTTTTTCTCTCCGCTCCGCCGGTTTCAGTCTCACTCCCCTCCAGCCATGGGAGGCCTGATCAAACCATGCATTCATCACCTCTCTCTCGGTCACCATGCATGACCACAGAGCAACACACATAGCTGGACAAAACACACAAGCTCTCTCACTGTCACTCTCTTCTCTCTTTCTCTCGTGGGGCATGAGAACACACACAGGGATAGCTTCTTCCAGCCGATTCTGGCCCTGCCAACGAACCCATCAAAACATTCTTCACTTCTCCTCAGTTCAGAAACACGATTTGGTCACTCCCTTCTGCTCCTTCCACGCATGTCACCTGCAATAACGGCGCTGTGATGCCTTTATGGTTTGATCTACATGCAATACCTGTAACAACCGATTCTCCTAATGATGAAAGCGGTGTCCTTAAAACAGTCCGGAATGTGCATGCAATGATAGACATGAACATTTAGCTCCTGCTGCAACCAGACCGTGCGCTGTGGTGATCGTGAAGGTAGTGATCTGTTTTGCGCCGTCGCTGGGTTCTCTGGCGTTGGACTGATCTTCTCGACATGACTTCTGGTACACGGGTTCTCTCTCCCGCTGCTACTGAGCTTGCAACGGCCCACCCCCTCCGCCGGAAGCCCCTCCAGCTTCACACCCACGGCAGCAATGACAATGACTCCACTGTTTCCACTAAACCCATCCATCTCTGTCCACACCTGGTTCAGTGTTTGTTCCCTCTCATCCTTTCCTCCACCAATGCCGGTCCCTCTCTGCATCCCAACAGCATCTATCTCATCGATGAAAACCAAGCATGGCGAGTTCATCTGCGCCTTGTTGAACAAGTCCCTCACCCCTATAAACATCTCTATGAACTCTGATCCAGAGAGTGACAAAGACAGGGACTCCTGCTTCCCCGGCAATGCCTCTGCTCTCGGGTTCTCTCCCTCTCTCGGCAGTTTTGATTTCCAGTGCTCCAGCAGCAAATTTCCTATTAGAGAAAAAGAACATCTATCAATTCCAGGATTAGTAAATTTTGTTCTTCTCATTTGCTGCCTCCTATAGAATCCAAAAGCCATATTTAGAGATTCATCTCAATCAGGAAAAATAGAAATAAATTTTAAAAAAAAAAACACACGCACACATACAAAGTCTAGCAAAGTCCTGTCAACAAGTCCGTTGTAATTCAGATTAGAAAAAGAAAGAAAGGTTGGATATAATTCCGGTGCATTAAGAGGTCTAGCTTAGGAGATTATTTGTTTGAATCTAAATCAAGACAACAAACAGATTCATATGTATCTAGTAATGTCTAATGCAAGAATCGAAAGGAAGAAGGTAAGTTACATGCATATGTCTAAAATATATGTGTGCATATCATTAGAAAAACAATACGGTTATCGAAGTCATAATTTCAATCTTTAGAACATTGACTTTATATATCTAGACAAAGGACAAATTTCTTTCCCACAAATTCAATATCGTTGTAAGACCAATCATATGTTGTTGTAATTCAGTCCCACCAGCCAATTAGAAGAAATACATATGAATCTAAGGGCATCATACATCTCACATAAATATTCACTTGCCATGTCAAGTCCAACAACACTTATCATGTAAGGTTTTGTTCTGAGCTTTGACATGCAGTCGGCAACATTTCTTGCTACACCACTTAGTATATAATGCACCTTAATATAATGCACCTGAATAAAAGAACTCCACATTATAGGCAAGTAAAAGAAAATTATAAAGAAAGTATTTCCTATTTTACTATCAAATTGTTCATGTACAGTTTCAATGAATTAAATTGAATCTACACCTATAATCCAGACTAGGTAAAACACTTTGGTGTTATAAAAATTACCTAATAAACTAAGCATAGATTTTCCAATCAGAACTCAGAAGCTCTCTCTTTAAATTCATTTATTTTCTAGCACTGTGCTTGGCCTTTGTGTGAGATTCCAAAGCATTTTTTTACGTTAAATGACTTGCAAGAAATTTTGGGTGAGGAAAAATTGAGATAATATTTTTGGTAACATTTGTACTATATCAATGTCCAATAAATATTAGCAATTAACAAAGAACATTTAAAATACACGTTAACAAAGATAAACAGATTGTTATCCTAATAATACCTAGAGACAACATCGGTCTATATATATATATATATATATATTCCCAAACAAAAACAAAAAATTAAAGGAAGTGTTGGAAATCTTGAATTACTTTAGTAATCTAATAATCCGAAACCTAAAACTTATAGGACCAAACTTTCCCTAACAGTATTTGCAATCTCCCCAATTTCTCTAACAAAATCAAATCCATACCATACACGCTTGACTCAACACAGGGAGCAAAACTCGTGATCGTTCTATAGTATATATTTATAATCAATTAATTTCAATTGTCCAAGAGCTAGAAAAATAAAAATTAAAATTAAGAGTAAGATAAGACCAAATATTACATATCAAAAGATTTGTGCATTGCCATAGGCACTGGCTTCTCCCATCTACTTGATTGATTCTGTTTAAGAACATGTATATAGTCCCTTATCTTAGTTCTTACTTCTTCTATGAATTTTCACAATGTAAGTATGAGAGAAATTATTATTGTGCTTCACATATTAACTTTAATATGAGACTAATTTTTTTAAGCTATAAAAAATTCAATAAATAAATAAATAAACAAAACAATAACTGTACTACAAAAATTTTCAACTAAAATTCCAATGCACCTTCATCAGATAAATACTAAAATAAAACAAGTCCATACAAAATTTTTCTTTAAATAACGTGTCATAAATTCTTTTTAAAAACTACATGTAATTGTTAGTAACAAAGCGAGAGAGAGAAAGAGAGAGAGAGAGGAGAATAAAAAGTAAATGAATCAAACCCTAACGTTTGCTCTCTCACAGTATCGCTCCTAAATTCTATGAAATTTGCAAAATTGGCAATGAATCGCAAAACAAAAGACAATTGAATTCAGATGTGTGTATATAAATATGTATGTTTATGTGAGAAAAATTGAAAATAGAAAGAACCAATTCAGAGGAGAAAAAAAAGAATTGCAAATAATTGAAAACCTAGATTTCCTGAATCGGATAAAGAGAGAAGCAGAGGTGATAGAGGAGGTTGAGGATTGCAAAATTACTTGTATTCTCACAAGACACCGATGAAATCACCAAATTTGCAATTAAATCACCTGAAAATTAAACCAATTGACAGGTACATTACAAGCTTCTGAATTCAAAAACAATTTAAGAGAGAGAGAGAGAAGAGAGATTGAGAAATTGAGAGAGGGAGAAAGAGCAAGATTGAGAAATCGAGAGAGAGAGAGAGAACACCCTTAAAATGATCACCAAAGCATCCAAAAGAAAACGAGAGAAATTATTGAATTTGATAAGGTTGTTCATAGATATCAGCCTCTCTATTGTACAAAGTACAAAATATGCCCACTGCAAGCAATAACAGTAACAAAATGCATCGGACTCAATGAGATTAGCTATCATGTAACTGAATGTTGAACAAAGATTACAAATACTAGAATGGCTCGTAGAAAATTTTGGGTGAATCATGGTGTTTTTTTTAACAAAGATTCAAAAAATTGTTCATTTTGAGATCTTTGCGGTCAGTTCTCTGACCAATTTGGCAGCAACCATAGCAGTCATCCCGTCAACAGTGTCACGTTGTGGGTTGAACTCAACTACATCTGCGGCAACAACATCAGCTTGAAGGTTGTGGAGTATGTTGAGAACATCACGGAAAGAGAGGCCTCCTGGTTCAATATGAGAGACTCCGGGAGCAAAGGCAGGGTCGAGACAGTCCACGTCCACTGAAATGTACACGCCCTTCACACCTTCCCCAAGTTTCTGCAGCAGAGTGTCAAAGTTATATAACTATATATAACAAAAATCCTCCAAGAGAATCATTCACGCTGTTTTAAATGCTTATTATTATAATTTTAAGTTCACTGTTATACTTCTTTGTGGCCTTTGAGGGTGCAAGTTTGACCGTGCTCTCCATTTTATAAGTAGAAGCCCTTGATGCTTGACAAGTTCGAACACCTAAACCGTAAGAATTATGGACATGGACATGACATGTAAATTTTCAAAAAATTTAAGACACTACAAGTGGAGAACACATGCAACATATACAATTTTATATATTTATTTTATGTTATATATAAGGATAAATAATTATAATATATCATATATATAAATATTTAAGTAAAAAAGTAACAACTTTTAATGTCTAAAGGGAAATAGGTATAAATTTACATTATTTTCGTTTTATCATTGAATTCTAAGTTATTTTATTTAAATTTGTAATATCTTTCATGTGTGTATAAGTGTTGGTAAGTTTCTGACAAACATTGTATCGTGTTGGTATCAGACACAATATCGGATACGATACATTACCATATTGAAGTATCTATACTTCTTAGTCCTAACCAATACTACTCAAACTATCACAACTGGACCACATCATGTTTATCCCAAAAAAAAAAAAACTGGGCCACATTGAAGTTTGCATACATTATTAACCAAATAATATGTTTGCATACATTATTAACCAAATAATATATATATATACTTAAGGTATGAATTTTAAATTGAGAATATATATCATTGCCCACCCCATACACATGTGACCTGCGCATGTGCGCGCACTCACAGAGAGAGAGAGAGAGAGAGAGATACCAGGTTCTCCAAAAAGTAACGATCTTTTGAAAATGATCGCATTTCAAATTGCTCCACGCCAAATCTTTTCCCTTGTTCACGGCCTTCACTTGTTATTGATCTAATACCAACCTGAACAGCAAGCATTTTAACCGTTAATGATGACAGAATAGCATCTCAATATCCAGAGTAAAGAAAATTGCCATCGAGTCAACATGTAAAACAACCAAATATGTGTTTCAACTAATCAAAGTAAATATTGGAAAAAAATGAAGGACAACAAAAAAAGCAAGAGTGAATATTGGAAAACAAATACTTGCAAAAGCCTCCGTGCATAACCACCCTCCATAATGCGAGCAAATGATGATGCATGAGAATATTTGTTTCCTTCAAAACAATGGTAGATATCAGGATGGGCATCAAGATGAAGAATATCCACAGGTCCTCCAAGCTTCTCAGATACAGCTTTTACAACGGGATACGATATTGAGTGGTCACCCCCCAAAACTAAAGGGCGCAATGGATCCTGTAATGGCAACAGCAAAATTTGTGTCCTCACATATCAAATTTTCATCTTTTCTTCTCTAGTTGTCAACAAGCAGATTACTGTAAAACATGACTTACCTGTTCCATCACTAGCTTGACAGATTCAGATATAGTATTCATCAATCTGTCGTCATCTACACCACTATCTCGTATCTCTTGGACAGGAACATCACCGACATCAGTTAAGACCCGTGGATCATTTAATTCTTTCCCTGCATTATCCCAACATGTTAGACACAGAACATACATACTCGATATCTCACAAAGCAAGCACGCCAAAAGTGCATGGTCCTAATATATATATATAATTATAAAATAAAATAATAAAAACAAGCAGTTTCAAAAGCAAAGATAACTTAGGGTGACAAATCAACGGTATGTGTCAGGAATTCGGGGAGTCCATGAATATGCAACAACAATACAGTCAAATCCGTTGGGGAGAAATTAGAAGTCCACATGTGCAACACCAGGACCTAATATACATTATTTGAAACTCACACTCACTTAAGCATCTAAGTGGTGAGTTCATCTAATCTATATTAAGACTCTCTATACTTTTTATCCAATGTAGAACTCTGACTTCTTCACTAAGACTCACACCACTGCTCGGTTTCGGTTTTTTCTTGACAAACTCTCCGTGTTTTCTGCTAAAACACCTTGAGTTTGAGCGGGGGTGTGAGAATATGTGTTCTCCTCAGATTAGGAATCAGTGTCCTATGTTTATTAGACTTCTATATATCTCAGTAATGTATTCATGTAGGGTTAGGATTAGTGGTACTCTATATAAATGATGTATGTATTCTTTGTTCAAATTAATTCAATCTAATATACAGGTTGTTTAGAAATCTTACAATGGGTTCAATACATTGTTTGAAACTCATGCCCACTTAAAAACTTAAGCCAATAAGCATAAGTCCATCCAATGTATATTAAGATCCAATTTCTTTTTTATCGGATATGAGACTCTACCTTTACACATACTCCAACAACATGCCCTTTCAATACTCTAATAGGACCCCTCCTTGGAGGGTGGCCTAAGAAATGGGTTAACCAATCATAGTTCAGTTAAATAAAAACTGAATGTTATCAATGACACAGGAAACTTGGTGTTCACATTTCCAAGGTTTTAAAGTGAGGCAAATAATTTGAGCATGAATGACAAGATTGATGCATGCACACCGCACGCGCGCACACACACACACACACAAACAAAAGATTAAAAAAATAACTATTCTCCCATTGATTATAATGACATGTAGAGGTAACATAAAATGGTGATTTTTTTTTATCAGCACATCCAAAAAGATGCAAATGTGCGATATAAAACCTACTAGATAATCAAAGTTCCTCAAAGATCAACAAAAAGACTGAATTCGATGATACATATGGATTGGACAAACAACTGTGAGTTGTGCAAATTTAGAACCTCTTTTCTGCACTGTCATTAGAAAAAAATGAAATTTAGAAAAAAATGAAATGGCAGGAACACCCAACCACGTTGTTTATTTTGTGTATAGAAACACACAAATGCACAAATGTAGTCAGATATTTATGGCTTTATATGGAAAGCATGACCTTGATTACATATTAGCTTTTTTCCCCTATCTCTCCCAACAAACACAATAGAGACGCACACAAACACAATAGTCATTAATAAAGTAAATGTCTTAGCTAGACAGATTTCACTTCACAATTTGGATCCCTGCCCTGTATGCAAAGTTAAAACCTATATTACACAATAAGAGTACATGACCACGATTCATCATTTTCGGAAACAGCACCTCATCCAATGAAATCCGAAAAACATCACTCATGCTTATATTTATTCGAAAACCGAAAATCATGTTCACCTTCTTCAGTAGTGGCGTTTGTGCTGCCACACCAGATTGCCTCCCTTATGCGAGGAGGAGCAAATGCTGGCCCCTGCAGAAATGATGAGTTATGTCCCAGAGGAATTCCAAGAAGAGATGCTGATGCTACTGCTCCTCCCAGAGCCCGAACTAGCTCTCCCTGACAAAGAGTAAAAAGTTTCAATAATCCTTATGTCATGTTTTGTCCTGTTGAAATCTAGTTTCCAAAGCAATTTTACAAATGAAATAGAACTAGAAACAATGCAAAGCTGGAATGGGCATTCCATTCTAGCCTATTCCATTGTACCAAGCATGCTTTGTTGGGAAATGAGCCCAACAATATTTATACTGAGCTAGCTATCTAACAGAAATTTGGTGAGTACAAACAAAAAAATGATACATAAATTGAGGAGTGCTCACAACAAGTATTATGAATGACTATGGACGCCTTTCACGTCAAATAACTGGAAGATGTTCAGCAATGTAGTGAGAAAGCAAAATGGGTAGAAAAAAGGATGACATGGACACATAGAACCATTGCCACAATAACCAAAAGAAGATGTTCAGATTGAAAGCAAGTGCTAACCCTACCAGAGACAACCAAAATAAAAATGCATCGATGCAAGAGCTGCAATCAAATTCATATTCCCGAACCAAACCACTGTAGATCAAATGTCATCCAGCCATGATAGAAGAATTACATAAGATGAGAATATCAGCTCATCCTGCGCTCTATATAATGAGGCTGCATAATCATAAAATCCAATGGTCTATTCACAAGATTCTCACGTGTCAAGATATAAAGCATTTTGGTTCACATTGTTGGCCAGACAATGGTTGAATAAGATTTTGATAAGACACATCTATGATAGAAGTTCAGACATGAAATTTCAAATCAATGGCATAATTGTGTCAGAAAGCCACAATCATACATATTTCTGATGCAGAATTCATTCATCTCCATGAGGTGTAAAATAAGACATCATTTAAATGCAAATGACATGCCATGTTCAATGCATGGTGGCAAATATAACAGACACAAGGCACAAAACAGGATGGTGCTAAATGAAATTGAGATATACCTTAAGCTTTGCCCTCTCACGAATAAGAGTAAGGGAAGCTTCTATGACACGCTTTTGGCCATTTTCTATCAATTCATTTGGAACATTTGCAGCATTTAGATTGTGCAGGTAACGGATTCCCATCCTCCCAATATTCCTCATATCTGTGAACTTCAGGAGGAAAAAAAAAAATGCTTGACTGATTCTATACGTTTAAAACTGATGCAGATGAAAAAAGTTAGCACAGTGACAAATATCAGGTACAAATATAGCAGAAGAAGAAAACACTGCATTATGACAATGTTGTGCAACATAATGATATTACTATTACTATTCTATTTGATAGATGAGTCAAGTGTTCTAGATAGGAGAATTAACCAATGTTGTATTAGCACCTTATTTTTTACATTTCAAGTTCAAAGACAAACACAAAAAAAATATTCAACCACAATATTCAAGTTCAAGTTTCTTCTTTTTTTTTTTTTTTTGGTTTTGGGAAGGGGGGGGGGGAGATCAGGAATTGTTCACGTAACCACAATAATTGGGATAAGCGCATGTTTAGTTGTGCTTATTTACTCGTGTTCAAAGATCAAAGCTGAAACTAAAACAGAATTATACATTTGAAAATAACCACACCAAGACAAACAGACAGAGAAAAAAAAAAACTAAAAGAAATTTATGTACATTAAATTAATTTACCAAATTTTAGGTGTATTGCAACGATGTGTTTTGAATGAATCCCAAACTAATAACTATTATCTTTTCACATCATGTTTATATATATCATATGTACTGGCTCTATAAAACTAAAAACTCAATATATCCTAGACGTAAATGTCATTGAACAAATCGCCAAAAATTTATATTCTCTACTCACTTAACATTCATCCCTCCTCAGCTAAAATGACCCCCTGCCACTGAAAACTGCCCTATGTTGTACCGAGCTAGATGATTGCACCCTAGCGACATTTCAATTCCCACAAAACTGGTTATGATCTTCACTACAAGCGACACCATGATCATGTAAATGCCGACCTACCAAAGGTTACAGCTAGAGGACACCTTATTGGATGATTACATGTTGTTGAAAACTTTCTCAGTTAAAACAAACTCTCTAAGGCTTCCCTTGGTTCCTGAGGAACTAGAGCATTATTTTCAAAAACAAAAAAAAAAAGAAAAGTTCCCACCTCAGACTCTCTTGTTTTACTTTCCACTTTTAAGTTTAACTACTCAAGTAAGCTTTGTACTTGATGGAGACCGAAAAATCAAACCTTTTGTTTTTGTAGGAATAAAATAGGGGAAGATGTTTTATTCCCATCAAATTAATGAATAACTTATTAAGAAGACAATTATGATCACCATCATTAACAGAGACAAAGATAGCACTGCAGGGACAACTTGGAAAAAAGGGGGGCAAGGAGTATCGTGACTTATAGCTATAAAAGAAAATAAAATTTAATAAAAGGGCAAAATATAAGAAAAATAGGAGAAAGCAATCAAGAAAACAGAAACAAATGATTCGTGATAGAGATAATAAGGTTAATATATATAGTTAGGCCTCCTTTGACAAAATCACTTTTTAGCCTAAAAGCCAAAAACTCACAAAAAAAAATAAAAAAGCCAACAACCTATACCAAAAAATCAAAAATTCATTTTTTTTTTTACTTTTTGCACATCTATTCGAAAAAACTAAAAAGTCATCCCAAACATACTAATTTTTTTTACATCATATTAAAATGGCCCACTCTTGGGTTCTGGTTTTGCCATGATAAAACAAATATATTTTTCCCCCTCAGTTTTATCCCATCATTCTTTACTAAAACAGCTAAATTTTACCCACAAAGTGTCTCTTCACAATTGTACTAGACCAAGCTAGACGATCAGAGATTACTGTGCTACTCATGGGATCTAATTCCTCGATTAATCAAACATAAACAAAATCAAACAAAGTTGTACACAAAATGAGCATCTATCATAATACCAAAAACCCAATTATGATCTTCAGTAAAAAAACACAACCAAACCCAATAAAATTCATATCTCCCAAAAACTTTCACAAGTTAACCAAATTTGCTTATGAGTCACAAAACCCATTTGGGTCCTGACTCCGAAACCCAAAGGAAACAGAAAGAAATCAAAGAAAAACACTGAATTTAATCTATGTTCCCTTATTTCATTTCTAACCAAGAAAACAAAACAACCCATCTCAAAATCTTGCAATTCCTTTAACCGACTTAAATCAAATGCTCTGTTTTTCTTAGAAATGAAACCCATCATATATTCTTTTTTTTCTTGGTCTAGTACTAAATTTTATCGGCAACCAAACAGTAGATAGTAGCAGTAAAATAAATTTTCAAAAAATAATCAGAAAGATGGGGTGAAGCATTCTTACCAAAGAGAGAAACAGAGGAATCACAGAGCTTGAGTGAGAGAAATGAATGGAGCGATGAAGAGTAGTAGGGAGGCTTGGTTTGGTGTATATATAATAAAAAAAAGAAGAGAGAGAAAGCAGCCTTTTTGGTGTATGTTGCGGATGTAGAGAGCACTACGGCACTAATCCATCTGATTAATTAAATAAAAGAGATATTATTAGAGTGATTAAAAAATAATGTGATAATAATTGGATGTGTTGTTCTTGACTGGGACACTGCTGAAATTAATTTTAGTTTGAGTTTTTTGAATTAAGTTTTTTAAAAATTTAGTTTTTTGATTTTCGTGTTCTTTTTTTTTAGCGAATATTTTTAAATTTTTTAATTTTTAAATTTTTAAAATTTTAAACATTTTTTTACTTTTTTAGATGCACCTTACTTAGATGCATCTAAAAAGTAAAAAATTGTGAAAAAATATTTTAAAAATTTAATAAATACATAAAAATATTAAAAATGTACTGAATTCTCATATTTTTTTTGTATTTTTGGTATTTAGTGAATTTTTAAAAGGTTTTTTTCACAATTTTTTTACTTTTTAGGTATATTTACGTTAGGTATGTCTAAAAAGTAAAAAAAAAAATTACTTAAAATATTAAAAAAATTCAATAAAAACAAAAAAACACGAAAAATAAGAAAATAAAATTTTCTGAAAAATATTTTTAAAAAAACACAACCAAGCAATATATTTTGTTATACACAAGTTTGAGTTTTTTTAATTAAGTTTTTTAAAAATTTAGTTTTTAGATTTTCGTGTTCTTTTGTTTTTAGTGAATATTTTTAAAATTTTAAATATTTTTTTATTTTTTTAGATACATCTAAAAAGTAAAAAAATTGTGAAAAAATATTTTAAAATTTTAATGAATACATAAAAATATAAAAAAATGTACTGAATTCTCATATTTTTGTTGTATTTTTGGTATTTAGTGAATTTTTAAAAGGTTTTTTTCACAAATTTTTTACTTTTTAAGTATATTTATGTTAGGTATGTCTAAAAAGTTTAAAAAAAATTTACTTAAAATATTTAAAAAATTCAATAAAAACAAAAAAATACGAAAAACAAAAAAATAGAATTTTCTGAAAAGTATTTTAAAAAAAACACATCCAAACAAACTGAATAGTTTTATATATTTTTAAGAAATTTTTTATACACTCTCCAACATTAAAAAATAGAGACCCTCAATTTTGGAGACTAGTTGGGGTGCTTGCTATGTTAGGTGTACAACAGGCAATGCTGTGTGGCCCCATAAGCTTATTTTGATGCTCGTTTTGATAACCAAAATCGTTCACATTTTAAAGTTATACTTGCAAAAAATTAAGTAGATAAAAATTAAGTTAATCGGATATCATTAACCCTTTTATCCATTCACATTTGTATTCATTTTAATAATTTAAATCACAATGTCATTTATTTTTGAAGATACAAATGAGAGTGGATGGTTAACGATATCCAATTAACTTAATTTTTTATAAGTATGTTCTATTCGATGTACTCTAAAATGTGAACGGTTTGAATTATCAAAACGGACTCTGAAATAAGCCTATGGGGCCGCACAGTAGTGCTTGTTGTGCTGGGTCCACAGCAAGCACCCCAACTCCCCTTCACAACCCTCAAAGTGACCTATACCATTCATGATATGGGCCCTACACATACATGAGTGGTGTGGATCACTTTAGAAATTGTAGGGGTCCCAAGCATTTTTCATATTATATAAGGAAATAAAGTTTTTGTGAGGAGTATTGCGAGAGATTTAATATCTCATAGTAATTTTTTTGATTTTCTTAATTTTAAACAATTAAAAAAATCTATATTAGCTAGCTAATTAGTTCATGATTTATTTGATAATCCCACATCAGGAGAAAGTGAGAAACATTGCGAGAGTTTCAATATCGCATACTGATTTTCTTGATTTTCTTAATTTTAAACAATTAAAAAAATCTTCATTGGTTAGCAAATTAGTCCATGTTATATTTGATAATCTCACATCGGGAGAATAAGAAAAAAGTGATTTATTTTACACATATAAAGTCAATTTTATACTCTCATTTAATATTATAGTGTTGTACATATTTCAATTTAATATAAGGAGGTTTTTAATGAGTGACATTGCGAGAGTTTCAATATCTTATACTAATTTTATTAATTTTAAACAATTAAAATTTTTTCCATTAGTTAGCTAATTAGTCAATGATTTATTTGATAATCCCACATAGGAAGAAAGTGAGTAGCACTACGAGAGTTTCAATATCTCATACTAATTCTCTTAATTTTAAACAATTACAAAAATCTCCATTAACTAGCTAATTAGTCCATGATTTATTTGATAATCCTACATTGGGAGAAGGAAAAGGTGAATTGTTTTACTCATACAAAGTCAATCTTATAGTCCCATTTAATATTATAATGTTGTACATATTTCAATTTAATGTATTTTAAATTTTAAAATAAAATTTAAAAATTTTAATTAATTAACTTTTGTGTAAGTTGGTTGGTATTTTGACCTAGCCGATTAATCTCAATCATTTTTTTTTTGGACTGATTTGTTAGTTTAGCTGCGCTTTTAACAGTTTTATTAAAATATATTAATTAGATTTGTTTGATTCGAAATAAACTAAAGATTAATCTGATTAAAGATTGAACAACTGAGATTGCTTGATTAAAAATAAACTTTCCGTCTAAATAATTGTTAACTTTTATTTTATAATCTCACGTCAGAAAAAGAAGAAGAAGAAAAAAGTTATTTTACTTCTATAAAATGAACCTTAATATTGTAGTGTTGTGCATGCTTCAATTCAAGCCAATTTAAATTTTAAAATTAATATAACATTTAAAAGTTTTAATTAATTAATTTTGTATAAGTTGGTTGGCCATTTGACCTAACCGATTAGGCTAAACCATTTTCAGTAAGGAGCATTGTGAGAGCTCCAATACCTTATACTAATTTTCTTAATTTTTTTAATTTTAAACAATTAAGAAAATCTCCATTAGCTAGCTAATTAGTTTATGATTTATTTAATAATCCCACATCGGGAGAAGAAGGAAAAAGTGATTGTTTTACTCATATAAAGTGAATCTTATACTCCTATTTAATATTGTAGTGTTGTGTATGTTTCAATTTAATATAATTTAAATTTTAAAATAAAATTTAAAAGTTTTAATTAATTAATTTGTGTGTAAGTTAGTTGGTCTTTTGACCTAGCCAATTAGGGTGAATCATTTTTGATTTACTGATTCATTGGTTTAACCGCGATTTTAGCAGTTTTATCAAAATATATTGATTATTGATGATACAGCGTGTTCCAGATGGAATGGGTCGGATTGATCTACGCTTCCCAAACCAGTGTCCAACGTACCAAGCCCACGGAGAGACCTGCACAAAAGTTCAACAGGGAACTGGGAGTTCCCCAGCGAACCCTTCGACGAGCAAGTTAGAAAGAGAGATGGGGTGTAGAGATAGATTAGTGATAAAAAGCTTAACCTTCTTATTCTCTTCAATGCTTGCTTATATCCTCTGGTAATCATTTCGTTGTCCCTTTCGACCTGTCATCTTGGCCGAAAGTCTATGCTCTAGCTTGCCTTGTTCATGGTGAGGTCATTCTGTCTCGACGATGAGGGGTTATCGCAATAAATACTGTAAGGGACTTCATTAATGGCTGATGTGCAGTGCAATAACTTTGCAGGATCTTTATCTGCTTATGTGTCTTGTCCTTCTCTTGCCACGTGTTTAGATGTCATTGGTTCTTAATACCATGTTGAACTTCAGCAACGTTGGACTTTAGTATTTGAATTATGTATTGGGCCCTAAGTGGTGGGCTTTTAATATTTGAATTATGTATTGAGCCCTAAGTGGTGGGCTATACCCTTTATGGGCTTACCCATGTCAGTAGTCCCCCATTCCCAAGTGCAACTTTAGTCCAACGAAGGGAACAATAAAGAAAATGAGGGTTGTGATAGACCCGAAGGGGCAAAGACCGACCGAGAAGTGGGCTGACGGCGATGGGTGGCCGAGTGAAAGGATCGACCCTGAGGAGGAGTGACCGCGAAGGGTGACCGAGTGGAAGGGCTGACCACAAGAAGGGCCGACTATGAAGGGGTGACTGAGTGGAGGGACCGACCCTGAGGAGAGCTGACCACCAAGGGGTGACCGAGTGGAGGGACCGACCATGAGGAGGGCCGACTGTGAGGGGTGGCCGAGTGGAGGGACCGACCTTGGAGAGGGTCGACCCAAAAGGCCGCCGAGTGGGGGGGCAAGTGGCGATGCGCGGGGTTCGAGAATTAACAGGGCACGTGGTGATTTGAAGTGGAAAAGACAGGGTAGGGGAAGGGGACAGTGGATCGTGGTCGTACACGTGACGGAATCCCGTGATGGGGGAGGTTAGGCGTTGGGTAAGAAACGAAAGGGTAGGTTAACATAGGGATGTTGAAAAGGCAGTTTTGGCAGATTTTTTGAAAATTTTCAAGCTGGCAAAATTTAATTGTGACCCTTGGAATACAGGTAAGCCTTGGGTGGTCGTGGCTCAAAACCGCTCAGATCCTTTTCCCCCAGCGGCTTGGGGCGCGATCAGACTCGTTCCTTCGCGCTCGGTTTTGGAGCAGGCCCCAACTTTGCCTCTTTATATTTGTCAGCTCTGGCGAACAATCTCCTCTCCTCCTCCTCCTCCGCCTTCCTCTGCACCTCTAGCTTCTCCCTTGTCGGATCGTCCCCCAACAGTTGCGGTCCCAAGTTCTGGGCAAACAATGTTGAAGGAAGGACCAGCTCGTCCCACCTCACTCCCTTCTCTTCCCTCTAGTCCCTCACCTTCTTCACTCGGTCTTCGGCCGCCCCATCCAACTTGGGCTCGACTGATTTGGTGGGGACCTTCCACGTTGTCTGAACTCCCCTTCCACCATTCGCCGACACAAAAAACCATCTCGGCCTCCATCCCTTCAACAAAGACAGCATCCCTGCCACTACACCTCGCCCTGCTACTACATGCAGGGTTACCCACGTCTCTTGTTGACCGGAGGCCTTGTAGCAGGAGAAAAATTCTTCCACAGTTATGGCCACTCCTCCGGTGACTTGCTGCCAGGAACTCGCACAGGCCATCAGTATTTTCCAGGCGTTCGGCATCAACTACG